AATACGGGCCAGGGCCCCATACGGCCATGGGGGCCCATCGGTTGTTTGGGGGGGGGCCAAATGATATGATGGCCCCCCCTGATTTGGCTTTGGGGGGGGGGGGCATGGCCCTGATGGCCCCCCCTGCGACCGCCACTGGTGCCACCTTCCAATGATTTCCCATTTTATTTTTCCTAGGATAAGAAGCTTCTGTTTTTACCTAATATCGCAAAAAAATCAAAAATGGGCCTAAAATACTGCTTTTTTCGTCTAAAAGTTTGTCGGTTTTCGATATGTATAACAACTGTAGTGGGCTGACCTGCAAACAGGCGTCGGCAACAATCGCGAATGCGGCGCACATGTGACAATAAGCAAAGGTCATTATAGAGTTACGACGTACGGGAATGAGTTATCAGCTGTCTAATCGTAGACAACACAATGTCGAATTTAAACTGTAATCCTGTATTGGTATTGTTTCTTTAATTTTACTGTCGAACATTAATTTATGGTTTGAAATATGATTTTATGTAAAATAATTGATATGAAACAGCCGTCTCTTAAGTTATGACCCCATTTCACCACACGCAAGTGGCAGAAATGACAATGATCAGCTGACACATTTTTCTTGGCCGAAGTCAGAGCGCGCGGCCCGACGCACCACGCGTATTTGGAAATTCCGACCTCGACGAGCATCAGAAGCCACCTAACAGGCGTGTTCGAAACCGCAGGAGATGATGATGAACGGGTTTATCGAAACTTGATTGGATGAGCCTATCGGTAATAGCGATTTTAGTATTTGTATTTGTATATTTAAAATCGCCAACAGACAATAAGTCCACTTAAAAGGCGAAGTCAAAGAGACAGTAAAACAGCACACACCCACACACACAACACACACACACCTACATACACACACACACACTGAAGATAAAAACACGTAGGGTTATAAACACAGGAGATGTAAATGAATAAATAATAGCCTAAAAAGCCTAGTAAACAAGAAACACTAAAAGCACAGCGGATGCGATCACGCCGCTTTCAGCCCTTTCACATAGTTTAAAACGTGTCCTCTAAAAGTGTAGAAACTATCGCTAAAAACATCAGCGGGACTTCTAGTTAAAAACACGTTCATGGCCCTCGGTAGTCGGCGCAGAAAACCATCCCCGACGGTCCGTACGCGCCAGGGAAGCTCGGCGAAGAGCCGCTGTGAGCGGGTTGATCGCGGCGGCACATGGAGCGGAAATCTACCAAGGAGGTTAGAAGAACGGATTTTACCGGCCAGGATATTCCTCAGGAAGAGCAGGTCGTGTTGGTTTCTACGGACAGACAGTGATGTAATACCAAAATGATGCAGAAGAGAAGGATAGGACAGAGAGGAACATGGCGAGGATGTGTGGCTATTCAACCACAACAAGAATTTGTGCTGCACACGATCAACCCGCTCTGTGTGGGATTTGGCCGCTCCCGCCCAGACCACGCAACCGTATTCCAAAATTGAACGAACATTGGCATAGTAAGTAACGAGTAACGTATGTTTGTTAAATTTCGATCTCTTAGTCCCGGCCTGAAAGGTTCTGATCATCAGGCCTAGGGCCCTGTTTGCCTGGCATACAATCCGGGACACGTGCGCCGAAAATGACAGTTTGCTGTCAATTGTGACGCCAAGATCTTTGATCTCGTCTACGCTCTCCAGAACAGCGCTGCCAATACGGTAGGTGGTCCGAACGGGAGCGCGCCGCAGAGTCACACTGAATGCTTTACATTTGGCTGGGTTTAGAGACAGACCCCATGTGGCCGACCAGGAGCTCAGCCGGTCAATGTCCGTCTGCAGAGTGGCAGCATCCTGGCGCGTCGTGATTTTCCTGAAGATTTTGGCATCGTCTGCGTAGAGTAAACATTCTGAGTCTAGATCGGAAGGGAGGTCATTGATAAAAATAGAAAATAGGATCGGAGCAATCAATGACCCCTCTGGAGTTCCCGAAATGACACTAGTCCATTCCGACGTTTTGCCGTTCAGTGTGACTCTTTGGCGCCTATCGGAGAGGTACGAGACAAACCACATGAGAGCCGAGCCGTGAACGTGGAACGAATTTTTTAGTTTGTGGATCAAGTAACCATGATTTACACTTTGAAAGGCCGCTGTGAAGTCGGTGTATATCGTGTCTGTCTGGTACCCCTCCGATATGGCCTCCCACGCCGAGGTCAGAAAGACGGCCAAGTTGCTGGTACATGATCTACCCGGCACAAAGCCGTGCTGCTCGTTGCAGAGTGCCGGTGCCACGTGCCGGTAAAGCTGGTCATAAACCACTTTTTCTAAAATCTTTGCGAAGAGAGGCAGCAAGCTAACACTTCTGTAGTTTTCGGCCGACTTTTTGTCTCCTAGTGTGTTCATTTATTGTTCATAGTGGTGTGAAATGTGGTTGGGGTACGACCGACAACCCGTCGGGGCGAATTTCACACTGGGGTACTCAAATTTGAAGAATTTAAGACGTTTCCATGAGTTTTGAAGGTATGGATAAGTTCTCAAAATCCGGTTCTCCTTATCCGGGTCATTAACTCCACATGGTCCAGGAAAGCTGGCACACTACCTTTAATGTATAAGAGGCTAAGAAATCGGTAAAAAGTTGGTATTTCCCTCATTTTCCCAACTTGGTTTGGTTTCGGTATTTCCCCATGGTTTTGGTTGGTTTTTGGTTTGGTATCGGTATTCCGATTTTCCGTAATTGACATAACTAGTGCACACAGTTCAGAAATAGTGCAACCATTTCGACAGTTCGGCATAGTGCACCGCTTCTTGGGCCGAGTACCTACATGAAATTCAGTAATAGTGTACTCAGTACTGTACACGGCTCCGAAACAGTGCAAGCAATTTAAAAGAGAATGCATTCATTTTCAGTAGTTGCGATTTCAGTTTCGACAGAGTGTATTGCTTCGTCATATGCATTGGTATTCGGCGTACCGCAAAGCAATTTAGTTAACCTTCAAGTGAATTCGGTGCCCCATCTAGGAAATATTTTTGACAACGCTCTTGCTGTTCATCAAGTGTAGCGTGGTGCCGTTCAAACAAGCTGCTAATGAAATTTTACTGAATTATTGAAATTCTACTGCTAATAAGATTAATGAGATTTTAATGAATGTAATGAAAAGGCCCAATTTAGTCGGCAGTGCACACATTTCAAAAACAGTGCAGGTGATTTCGACGGTACGGCATAGTGCATTCATATATTGAATCGCGGCACGATATTCGCCATATTGCAGCCATTTCGTCATAGTGCAGGTTAAAGTGACCCAGGTTCAGGCATATTAGACATATCGCACATTATTCGTCAGATCGTTTCAATTTCGGGGTCCCGCATGTAATTTAGGCACTGTTCAGTAAGACGGCATTGCAGGGCCTCGTCTAAGGAATTTTCACTGGGGGGGGGGGGCAGAGCCTGAAGGAGCCAAACCTAGGGTACCCCCAAATCCTGTTTTCTCACCGGATTTAGACCACTTATTTTTCATCACAGCCCTGACACCATGATGTTTTTTTTAACTAAAGAAAAAATAATAATAGGCTATCCGACCCATGCTTTTATATTAGTTTGTAGCCTCTTCACATTGCCCCATCAGACAGTTTTAATCACACTTATCGGTGTTGAGCGTTTTTTGAGCGGCAGTGCCTTGTCTAAGGAATTTACATGCCGAGCCTTATGTCGGGGGCCCACACGCATAGACTGAGCGCTTGACTCTGAGCTCTGCCGAGTTCTGAGGGCTAATACCAGCTTCTGGACCCATGCCGGCCTCTATGGCAGCCCACACTGGCTTTATATGATCCATACCGGGCTTTAAGGATCAAGCTGAGTGGAGACAGTATTTTCCCACTAGGGCCCCCTCAGACTATGTAGTGTAATGCCTACGTATCAACTTGGAGACTGATGGCTTCTCAGGTGGATTCTCCGTAAGTCGTAATCGCCGTGGATCTCCGACACAACCTTAAGGTTGTCAGAGGCTATAAACTAAACAAAAATTGAAGATTTCCCCGTGTAGTAGTATAATTTGAGGCCCGTTGGGACCCTACATGCTGGCATTTGGCTGGCATTTGCCCACCGGGACTCCACGCCGACTTCTTTAGATAATCCAGCTGTCAGTTCCCGTCCCCACAGACAGACCACCAATCTGCGCCTACGGGTACGACCACCACAGGATCCTGCTTCATTACGATTAGGAGCTACTCTAGCCGCACACCGTCCAGCCAGAAGTTGGACGCCGCATAGTGAGGACGACGATAGGCAAAAACAAGAGATTGACGCCCCGTGGACAGAAACAACAGATTGATACGTAAAGGATAATTTTTGTCGGTAGAGCGTTGGACTCCGCGTGGTGGGGGCACGCGTCCCGGTTATATCAGTCCGGGTTCGAAGCGCGACAGAGTCGTTTGATGTTTATGAGCCTCCTGGCGAGTATGGTTGCGGTTGGTGGCAGGCCGTAACCAGTCAAAGTCAGTGGGGGGGGGGGGGGGGACTGGCCGTGCGCGGCTATATGCATAGGTACGTAAAACTTTGGGCCCTAAATTCTGCCATAGATCAGGAATTGCGCGATCGGAGGGTAGAGGGCAGGGCCAACGCAAGAAGCTCTGCTTGGCGGAGGCTCTGTCTTTGTGAATCCTTCCATTCAAAAGGTTCGGACTAAATTTATAAAAAAAGAATATCCGAGACACGGAGTTTGGCGCCTGAAAAGACGACATGTAACGTACTGCTGAGCGAAAAAAATGGTTAAGGTCAGGTTAACAAAATAAACACTTGATAACAGGCCTAAGTAATCGGGTAGGTATCAATGTGCTCAAATCGCATCCATCCAAATCGCACGTCAACTCTGTGGCGACAGCTGTCCCGCACGTCAACTCTGTAGCGACAGCTGTCCCGCACGTCAACCCTGTGGCGACAGCTGTCCCGCACGTCAACTCTGTGGCGACAGCTGTCCCGCACGTCAACTCTTGTGGCGACAGCTGTCCCGCACCTCAACTCTGTGGCGACGGCTGTTCAGGCCGTCGACTCTGCTGCTGCTGCAACAGTTGTTCGGGCCGCAGCTATTGTGGTGGCAGCTGTGCAGACCTCCGGTTCTGTGGTGGCAGCTGTGCAGATTTCCGGCTCTGTGCCGGCAGCTGTGTAGACCTCCGGGTTTGTGCCGGCAGCTGTGTAGACCTCCGGCTCTGTGCCGGCAGCTGTGTAGACCTCCGGCTCTGTGGTGACAGCTGTGTAGATCTCCGGCTCTGTGCCGGCAGCTGTGTAGACCTCCGGCTCTGTGGTGGCAGCTGTGTAGACCTCCGGCTCTGTGGTGACAGCTGTGTAGACCTCCGGCTCTGTGCCGGCAGCTGTGTAGACCTCCGGCTCTGTGGTGACAGCTGTGTAGACCTCCGGCTCTGTGCCGGCAGCTGTGTAGATCTCCGGCTCTGTGCCGGCAGCTGTGTAGACCTCCGGCTCTGTGGTGACAGCTGTGTAGACCTCCGGCTCTGTGCCGGCAGCTGTGTAGACCTCCGGCTCTGTGGTGACAGCTGTGTAGACCTCCGGCTCTGTGTCGGCAGCTGTGTAGACCTCCGGCTCTGTGGATCTCCGGCTCTGCGGAGGCGGCGCCTGCTGTGCAGGCATGTCTACGCTGCTGGATCGGGCGGAGGGCGTGTGGGTGCCGTCGCCTGTCTCCGACCCGCCTCCGGCGTATTGATTGGCCGTGATAAGACTGGCAGCCGGCTGCACAGGTGAGAAAAGAAGTGGATACTGATGTAACGAATGGTAATGACTGTCATTGACGCCCGCTAATGGCGCTCACGCCGACAAGAACCAGAATGGAGCATGGTGACCGGGAACATAGTTCTCTGATGAAACCAGTGTTCTCACCGTTTTTGTTCGATCGCTTACAAAGGATACGCACTGCATGGTATGTGGGGCCGAGAATTCTGACGAAACATCAGATAGCGGCCATCAACTGCCGCGCCGCTAATGAGACGGCGCCGCGCCGTCGCCGGCCGGCCGGGTGTCATCCAGTCGGCCAACGACTTTCTGACGAAACTCAGTGGTTTTCTCGTGCAAGTGTTCCCCAGTTTGAGGCCATCACGAAGTTGTAGTGTGCGTGGAGCAGAGTATAGGGGAGAGTGGGGCACATTCGTGCATGCGGCACATTCGTTTTCAGCAATTTATGGGAACACGAGTGACTGCACGAGCTCAAGGTAAATTATGGAAATATGTCATATATGGAAATATGGAAATGGGCGGCAAATATGGAAATCATTGCCGCCCTTCGTTCACCGTAAAAGACAACACTGTACCTGCTGTCATGCTTGATAAAAACGCAAATTTGTAATATTCGTGAGCTTTCCAAACTTTTCTCATATCATCCATTTTCGTGATCCTGACTCGGAAATGTGATTCAGCTCTTCAAAATTGGGGGCGAAGAAGCTCACTCTATTCACGGAACTGCTGCAAACTTGTTTGTTGAAAAAGTGTCATTTTTTCAACAAGAAATGTTGAAATATATTACAAATAACGTTGTGGGGCAGGTTCGTGTACGCACTGCCTGGGGTCACATTCGTGTATAGTTTTTGCGATTTATGACTTTATATGTAGTAGGTTTCACTAATGTCGCTCGCCTGACTCAGTCTCGGCTGCTTGCGACGTCGTGACAAGTAATTCACGCGACCTTGGCGAGGTCACGGAGGCCGGCAGTTGGCACATTCTTGTTGGCCAGCCCATTCTTTCTACATATGTTGCGCAATGCATTCTTGTCAAATGGAATCAAGTGAAATGACCCCCTGCCAATTTCATTTGGTAAATTTCTGGTAATGCCCGGTAATTTCTCGAATTTTGCAGGGTGCACGGAAGTGCCCCATCCCTTGCACGTAACTGCCCCATAGGTGGGGCAGTTTCGTGCAAACGTTCAGAGTTATTATTTTTTTTTCTAATAGAAGCAATAATTTTAGAGGATAGCTTTTAACGAGGAAAAATATCTGCAACTGTTCCTTTTCATACTACAATCAACAATTTTGCCGTTGCACTAACCAAAGAACAGGTATATGGATTTATCCATTTGTTTGCATGAATGTTCCCCACTCTCCCCTATAGAACGCCGGGCACCCCAACGACGCGGAAAGCGTCCATTTTACCTGGTTGACTTGCACGGTAGGTTCTACATTTTTGTGTATGAAAAATATTAGGTATATTGTATTTTGACGAGCCCAGCCAATTAAAAAAAAATATTTTTTTATTGTATGTACCAGAAAACACATACTAGCCTCAGCTTAAAAGCTAGTCCAAGGTTAGTTTAAAAGTGTAGGCATAGTTGATATCAACCCTCGCCCTGGCTGGGCATTTTTCATAACACGGCCTGGCAGGGGGGGTCGATGCGAACCCCCCCCCCCCTCGCGATTTGCCTCCTTTGGCACCTTTGCAAGATTGTGCCTAGGGCCCAATCTTACCAAATGCCGTGAATGCGCATTCACGGCATTTGGTAACATTCAGAACTATTCCGCATTCACTTATTCATTCGTTCAGGCAACATTCATAATCATTCACGCTATAAAAATCATTGGACAAGATTAGCTGGATGTAAATAAAAAGGATATCTTTGATATCAGTGCCGTAAACTCCGGCCAGTGCTGCCAAATCCTATTCACGGCATTGGTAAGAATTGGCCTTAGAAACACCAACTTTGGTAGTTAGGTGATCCCCTGGAGTTCTCGCCCCTGGGGCAATCCACGATAGATCGACCAAAAAAACTTAAAATTTACACCCGCATATTATATTTTTTGCTTTAGATTGGTCTAATGGGTTGTGATGGGCGGGGAACCCAGCTGTGGCAAGGATTTTTTATTTATTTATTTTTATTTTATTTTATTTATTTTTATTTATTTATTCTATCACCAACAGGGCAACCCCCACTTACAGGTGAAGTCACAAAAAAAACACACACGCACACACACACACTTACACACACACCTCATGCAGACAATAACAACCACGCCCGATAAACGATTGTATGAGCTCGATATGCTATGCCTTGCCTATATATCTAAAATGTCAAATATGACAAGGATTAAAACGTAAAAAATGAACGGGAAGAGATGATAGGAAAAGATATACTGCAAAAAAGGAATAAAGTAAAATAGTGTTGTAAAAGACACTGCGCTAAATAGATGTTATGTACTTCACAACATGCTTTTTAAAAGCGCCAGGAGCATCAGCAAAGAAATCTGCTTCTGGTGAGCTACGTAAAAAGGAGTTCGCCACGTGTGACAATCTCACAAACAAACCTCGCTTCATAGTGTTCACACGTGGACAGGGTTCATAAAAAAGTCTGCTGGTGCGGACCGATCGGGTGGGTGCATGCATGCCGAAACTGCTGAGTAAGAGCCCGGAGTCATGACGTGAACCAAAAAGGTTTCGCATGAACATCAAATCGTGCTGGACTCTTCGGGAAGATAGGCGTGGCAGTCGGAAGTGGCTTAAGAGATCGGCATATGACAGCGATGAGATGTGTCGAGAGGACGTATGCGCACAAAGCCACATCAGAAACTTGTGCTGCACTCGATCGATCCGCACCGTGTGGGTTTCAGCCGCACCCGCCCATATCACGCTGCCGTATTCTAAAATCGAGCGGACGTTGGAGAAGTACGCACAGAGTAGTGCGTTGGTGTCAAAATTTGTTTTTCGGCCGGTTTGAAATGATCGAATGAGCAATCCTAGGCCACGGTTCGCCTTTTTAACAATTTCGTTGACATGTGAGGCGAATGTGAGCTTCGTGTCTTAGTGTGATGCCGAGGTCTCTGATTTCTCCAACGTGCTCGAGCTCAGTGGCATTGATGAAATAATGGGTTTGGACGGGTGCACGCCTGAGAGTGATCGTGAATGACTTGCATTTTCTTGGGTTTAGGGCGAGTCCCCACCTGACAGACCAGGCAGCGAGTCGGTCGAGGTCGGCCTGCAGCAGTGGTCCGTCAGATGGCGAGACAATTTTGCGGAAAATTTTAACGTCGTCGGCGTACATAAGGCAGCCGGCGTTAATTTCTTGCGGTAAATCGTTAATGAATAGTGAAAACAAAAGTGGTGCCAAAAGGGATCCTTCGGGAACTCCAGACAGAACTGACGTCCAATTTGACGTTTTGCCATTCACAATGACCCTCTGACGTCTTCCGGACAGATACGAGACGAACCAATTTAAAGCCATTCCTTCAAGTTTGTAGGACTGATTTAGTTTATGAAGAAGAAGCGAATGGTTCACGCTTTGAAAGGCGGCCGAATAATCTGTATATATAGCGTCCGTCTGATAACCGTCCGAAATGGCCTCCCACGCAGCCTTGAGGTACACAGCAAGGTTTGTGATACATGATCTCCGCGGTACGAAGCCATGCTGCTCAGTGCATAGTACCGGGGCAACATGCCTAAATAACTGGTCGTAAATTATGCGCTCGAGTATCTTTCCGAAGAGGGGAAGCAGTGAAATCGATCGATAATTTGATGGGACTTTCTTGTCGCCTTTTTTAAAGATCGGTATGATGTTTGCCTGCTTCCACCTGTCAGGAAAGACACCCGAGCGAACAGAAATGATGCATATTTTTGTCAGCGGGACCACCAGCTCATCCGCACACTCAACAATAATGCGAGCGCTAACATTGTCCGGACCGCACGCTTTGCTAATGGGAACCGTTTTCAAAGCAGCTCGAACTGCAGAGTCTGTCACATCAAAGCAGGGCAGCGAATCGACATTGTAACAGGGGGCTTCAGGCAAGGCCGATATTCTAAGTGACGAAAATTTTTCAGTAAAGGCGTCATTCAAAAGCTCAAAAACCGTTTTTCTTCGAACAACGGTTTCCGAGATATAGCCTCGGGCAGTTCCTGGAGGTCACGCTGCAACCCTATGTTTGGCGGCTTATAACTCAGAAACTATTGGTTTTCTATGGTAAAATCTTTATATGGTTCAACTCGCAATCAACCAACAAACGTTTTGGCTATCTGGGGTTTTCGATATTTGAAAATTTTGATCACGTGACATCTTGATCTTTTTTTCGAAGAGTGACCTTGATATTTTCCCACCTGAAAGTCGCAATTTTGTTTGATGACGATTAAAGCCTTATCAATTGTCATTCATATGCGATAATAAAAAAGTGGCTTTCGGCCTGCGTTGACCTCAGGTCAGGTCATTTTATGACCTTCCCATTATTACGAGCGGGAGCGACAGCGAGATCTCGAGAACAAAGCAAGATAGCGACAAGCGGTAAACGGCATAGGGTATAAATGGATAAGGTCTACAATTTTTACTCAGGTCATTTTCAGGTCAGGTCAAAGATGACGTCACAGGGGTAAAAAGAAAGTATAAATGGCGGCACTGCATATATATGAAGTTTTTCTCGAATAACTTTCGAAGTATCCCAGCTAGGAACAAACTAATAGCACCATCGTGATCCTCTCGTCGATCCGCATCGAAACATGTGTATGTTGACCTCGAAAAAAAGGTCAAGGTCAAAAGTTGACCTTAGGTCACGTGACCTTAAAGGGACTATCCCACCTTTAACATGGGGTTTGAGTTGAGATAGCCAAGTTTGCGGCGAGGTTCAGAAACCACTATCTATCTAGGTTGCAACCCCCGCGGCCTCTTGGTG